TTATACATTGAGTAGCACAACTCCATACAAGCTCATAGGAATAAAACACGACTAAACAGTTGTGCGGCAGTTTAGTCAAAGGTCGCGAGTCAAAGCGCGCGCTCTAAATATAAACTAATACGACCAAATCACAGTAACCTATTTTATTCATCATCCACTTGCCCTTATCCCTTACGGAGGGTCGGCACAGTATGTGCTGCTCTTCCATACATGTCTATCAGCCGTCATATCTGAATCCACTCCTTTCTTAAGCATATCCTCTCTCACACAATCCATCCATACTTTCTTCGGTCTTCCTCTTCCTTTGTAGCCATCCACATTCAATCTTAACACTTTATGGTGTTAAGATTAACAGTAACCTATTTTATTGCCAAACAAATTGATTTTTTTTAAATGTTCAATATTGGCCAAAGATTTGATAAATCAGAAATAACAAACCGAAAATAAGATTTCTTTTGTTAATTCACTGCAGTTTTTTACCTTAAAAAACCAAAACAACACCTTTAAAAACTTGTGTTAAAAAAAGTTAAATTTGGATTTGCTTTTTCTATTCTTGTGTAATAATTCTAAAAATATTTATCTAAATTTAAAACAGTAAATTATTTACATTGAAAGTAAAGTTATTTACTGAACAATTATGTGAAACGGTAGTCCACAAGATCACGTGTCAAATTCACATGATCTCTGGCCGTTACTGTGTTACTTGTAACGTTTGAATTACCGAGGTTTTCACACAATTTAGATGTTACGATTTAATATCTTTGTTAATTAAATAGAGATAAAATCTCTGAAAGGTTTGTTTTCAGTTTTTTTTTTCTCCTTGGCTTCTTTTTTTTAAGTTTTTAAGCTAGCGCTTGATCACGATCCCACCTACTGAGAGTGATGATTTGGTCGATGGTACGCGCTACCCTAATAAATACTCTTTAAATTCTACTATCAATTAAGTCTAATAAAAAACTGATAAATTAATAGCAACCTGTGGAAATGTTTTAACTGCTGTCCGACTAAAACTGATTTTTCCAGTCTAGACTGAACTTTCGGTTTTGCTCTTTATTTCATCTGAAATAGATTTCGATTACGTATTGATATTCAGCATGTTCTTAACAAATTGTTTTCGTAAATAAAATAATTGCAAAATACAGATTTTTGATTAAAATTAACCCCTCACGACTATATTTTGTCTTAAAACCAAAAGTTCGGACAGTCACTAGTTTCAACAAAGAAAACCCGAAAAGTATCCGTCTTTAGTAAAACATAGAAGTATCTAAATGTATTATAGCTTTGGGCATTTTTTATATACAAGGTTATGTAACTCGGGTATGATTAGATTACACAATCGCATTGCTATAGTAACGCCTTAGCGGTGTCCTTGCTATCGACATTGGAACTTCATGTTAATTACATAGAGCGTTCATAAATAAAAGTAAAAAAGCTACTATTTAAATGTCGGAAAATTTGTTTCGAAGTCACATTTGTTTCTACACATTTTGGCACAAGATAAGATAATATAAGCCTTTATTCTCTGATTTTTTTTACATAGATTTCATCATCGTCACCAGCTCACTATACGTCCCCACCGAGGGGCTCGGAGCCTACCCTAATACGGGGTGACTAGGCCATAGTCAACCACGCTGGCCAAGTGCGGGTTGGTTGACTTCACACATATCTTTGAATTTATTCGCCGATATGTGCAGGTTGCATCACGATGTTTTCCTTCACCGTAAGAACGTCGGGTAAATTATGTACATATGAAAATTCGAAAAATCGAAAATCACATTGGTACACGGGGGCGGGATTCGAACCCAAGACCTGTGGATTACAAGTCAAGTGTTCAAACCACTGAGCCACCGACGCTCTTACTTACATAGATTTAACTCTAACATTTGTAGAAAAAAGGAGTAAAATTTAAAAAACAATATGTATGCAAGTTATTTTCAGCTTCCAATTGCTTTGTCAGGTTGTACTTCGACATCGGCCTTTCCTAAATTCTACCATAATTCCCTGGCCCTAGCTAATCTCCGTCCTTTCGGTATGTCATCATCCCATCTCTTTATTGGCACAATATAACTAATCAAAGGCTACTTTTTGTGGAAAAGGTAATCGTTTGTTCATTATACCCCTCTTCTTTAAAGAGATAAGATAAAAAGAGATGGATGGATTGCGTGAAAGGTGACATGATCAAGAAGGGAGTGATGACTGAGATGATGGATGATAGAGTTATTTGGAGGTCGAAAACCCGGTGCGCCGACCCTACGGGAGTAGGATAAAGCAGGGGAGATGATGATGATGATGATTCTTTACAAAATACTGCAGAAAGGATAAAAAAATAGGAAATCGCGAAATTTCAAAAAGAAAACTGATATTAAGCGCCGGAATTGATCGTTAGCAAATTATACCGCAGGACGGCTTTCTTTAGAAAGTGTATCGTTAATGGATGGTAATAAATAGTGACCTTTACACCAATACACATAGAGGCGACTTTATCGTAACCTCTACGGAAGTTGTAGAATAAAAGACATCAACGCGCGAAAACTGATTAATATGTTGCCATAAATAATTATGTTATGAATTATTTATATTTATTGACGTAATCTTTTTATGCTATATCATAATTTTTCTACTTCATACTTTTACTACTTTCTTTACATACTAACTATGAATATTTATTATAGTTTGATATGAGGTTTATAATGCCAATGTTACTGGTTTTTAATTTTTTTATTTTTCTACATATTTCGAGATCAATAAAAAGGTGCCTAATAAAATGGGGATTTCTGGGGGAATGGTATTATCAACAAAACCAAAAATTGACATTAAAATAAATACTGCGGATAATACAATATTAATGTTTTCTTAGATTAAGATATGCTTAAGATGCGAGTAAAATCAAATACGTATTGAAGAGCCATACTATCCCGACCCTCGTAAGGCTGACCCTCCCAGACCTAGTTTGCGAAACCTCTAAAAGTTGATCTAAAAGTCCACCTCGTCCGCCCGCTTTATCGTTCTACTTTTTCATATAATAATTACAAACAGAAACGATATGGTAAAAGCGATTAAAGTTTACGTAAGTACACGTTTACGAGTTCAGTAAGACTGGCCCTCCTTGAAACGTGCAGACTGTCATTGTGCCGATATCAGACGACCGAGGAAATCACAAATATCACATTTCACTTACAAACACATATGTAATGTAATTAAAATTTATATTTATTAACGGTACGCCAGACTGAGCGGCAGTTATTATATTTTAGTAATTAAACCTTTTTAGTATTACAAATGAAACCCATTTTATTACCTAGTCATTGATTAAAAATATAATTACGAGCTCCACTAGCACTATCTATAAGTTCAGAAATGAGGTTCCGAACTACATAGGCACTAACATAGGCTTTTTTATTATTTTTTAATTTTCGAGTAACAGCTAGTGATAAAATAAATCGAAACTTCAGAAACCCAGTATAGGTCGGGTAAAAAAAGCACGTTGATCCCTAAAGATTCGCCACCCCTGGATTCAGTAAATGTCATATATTTCGATAACTATGTAAGATAAATTCGAATTACATTTGTTGCATTTTAAACATAAATTCGTACGCTTCGTCGTGAGAAGGTCGAATGCATTGTAATTTTCGCAAGCAATCTTCGAAAGCCCCTTCATTGTTTCTTTTATTTTCGACATATGTTTAAGTAACCAGTAAATCACATTTAATTTACTTGAACAATTTGTCCAGATTATAAAAAACAAAAAACAACTGACAATCTAACGAACGAAAAATTTGACTAGTTGATTGACTTGCTGATAACAGATATTTTTTTAATTTTAGTCCTTTTCCCTTTCCACTTTTTTTTGGAGGAAAAGATGATAAAGAAAAGTGGATTTGACGATGGAGGAGACGCATGGGAAGGGGAAATGTCCTCTTTATGTGCGTCTCCTCCTCCGTCCATTAAGGATAGGAAACCCATCTGTAATTGCGGATGTTTATGGGCAGCGGTCGCTTTTCATTTCGGTGGATTCAGATAGCCGCTTGCTGGTTTACCACCTTATATTATAAAAAAAACAATAAAAATGATTTTATGTCTTATAGTAACTATAAATATTGTTACGTGTAAATATACTGTAAATATTCTTTGATGATTAGCTTTTTAATTTGTGACATGTTATATAATTTTGATACTCTTTGAATATAAAAACTGTAAGCGGTTACCATGGAAACGTGTTGTTGTCAAGTCAGGGAGATAAATAAAAAGATAAGTAACATGGAATAAATCGTTTAATTCTCAACAATATGAAAATTTGGATGGATGGATGTATGTTTTACTATATATTTCCAGAACAGCTTACAGGAAATAGCTTAAGTAAATTGTTATTTTTTATTAAGGTAAATAGTGATTTAGAAGAAAAGAGAACATAGTCTAGAAGAACACATAGCCGGAAAAATACTGGCTGTAACGCTCTATTAGAGTTTTAACTTTTTTTGTTGGTTTAAAAAAATAATTTAGTAATGATTCCTAAACATCGAAGCTTGTACATCTTTCGCGATGACAGATACGAACCTAGGACCACTAAATTGGTAACCGTTGGCATAACCATTGGGCCACTAGGACTTTAGGGTAAAGTGTTGTAACATTTACGCATGAACAACCAAGGTCAGACTACACATTCTTTCGAAAATTCAAATTAAGAATACATTTATTATTGCCATGTATTTATCGACATCGGAAATCATTTGCATAAAGAATGAAACGTTCTGAAACCAAGAATGTTTTAGAACAGTTACATTAAAATAAAAAATATTTATAATTCGGAATTTCTAAACGATTTAATAAATCTTAACTGTATTAACAGATATTAATATTGTAAGAAATAGTTAATTTATTCTTAAATATACAGTTTTTAATGTTTCATTAATTTTTTAACACAGAATTTCTGAACTGAGTAAAATTAAAGAGTAAATATAAATTTATTTTAACAAATTTCTTTAATTTTATTTTTAACTCACCTATTAAAACTCCAAGCACTATAACCAGTCCACCCCACAAACATAACGAGGATTGCATTTTTAACATCCAAAAATATATCACTTTCACTTCAACACTATCACATACCTTAATAAATGCATTTATTTCAAGCAAGTCTTTTATTAAACTATCTTTAATGCTCTATATTCTAAATTAAATAATTTAAATTAACTAAATAAAATCAATATCATCACCCTGTCACTCAAAATAACTTTAAAAACATCAAAATATAACCAAGAAATGGCGCTAATTTAACTTTGACAGCGCCTTTCCCTCGCAACGGCCAGTACCGTTCGAAAGTCAAACGTCAACTGATACTGAGCGATGACTGGCCACTACGCTGCAAGGAGGTTTACTCGAGCGCACAAAATTATAAAGCGACCAAATTAAAAGTTAATTAATCAAGGTAATGCTATTAATATCTATCTGGACATCTAAAAATAATCGGTTAATGCTGTCACTATGCTCACCACAATAACGAACTCTACTGGGACTTTTTAAAAGAATTATTTTAGATCCAGCGTTTATTGCAATATCTTGATAAAAATGTCGTTATTATTCAAACAGAATGTGAACGATGTCAAGTTTTACTTTTAATCAGTAGATCTTTAGCAATCCAATGAGATAGCAGGCAAAACCCTTAGATTAAATTAATAAAGGTAAATTTTCAAGTTTGCACAAATTGTCAATTTTGTAGTAACATATTTAGTATATTAAAAATATTATTTTATACATAGAAACAAAAGTCGAAAAGTTAATATGTAAAAATGGTCCGTCACTTATTTATAAAAGTTATTTCGTATGTACAAAATAGAAATATATTTGGTTATTTAATGGTAACTGTCCAAGTTATAGCTAAAAATGTGTGGTAAGTATAGTAGGGAGCAAGTTGCACTTAGCAAGTGTGCGTATAAAATTTTCAACATTCTATCGACAACCTGTCGATTGGAAATCGTCCGGCCACGCTAACATTGAACTCTTGAATCGGCACGATATTATAAACTTAGCATATGTATTTAAAAAACATATTGCTGTTTTAAATGATTTACAACATTTTTACAGTGCCCTAGTGAAAGTACATAACAGGAATATTTGTCATTTTTCATAGATTTTCCGAAATACCTGTACATGTTGACAAGTATTAAATCATAATTTTTCATTCATGTTATTTTCGTGAACTTCGTAAAGTATCCTTTCTATTTTATATGAAAACGTTAATAAACTTTAAAAGCACTTTAAGCTTTAAACAAAAATTTAAAACAGCGCCATCTATGTCACAGTATAGAAATTATTCTTGAGATGTGAGATTTACCAAAAGAACCAACATCGAATTACGTTCATGTTAGTTAATAAAATGTCTAATAGATGGCTCTCTTCTGTTTTGACGTTACAGATAAAAAATAATTTTGTCAGTTTTCCCATCGATTCACAAGAATTTAACTTTATGCCAAAATTGAAAAACTTTTTTTTTATTTAATTAAATAAGTTTCACTGCACTTATATTGTGCAAATATATGTTATGAAAGAAAAAAAGATAGAATAAACTTTAAACAAATAGTTAAATCATGCCATCTTCGATTTCATGAGAAGATTAGTCGACAAACTGCAGTAAGTTTGTTGGCAGTGAACGGAACGAAGCGCTGTCGTATAGATCGCTGGCTGGCCGTCTGGCTGAAAATAGTGAACGAAGTATGAGTTTTCGAAATATGTTCGAATAAAAAGTGAACAGTGAGTGACTGTCATCGAGCAAGATGGTTGATGACGTGAAAGATATTACGGAAAACGCTGAAAGTAAAGGTATTATGTGCATTTAAAGTCGATATGTGCCGTTATAGTGTGAAATGTGATTAAAATTGTCCAACCCTAAACCGCATCGTGGCCCCACGTCGTGGGTTCGTGCACGGCTTTCGAGAACGTCCGCAGTGGGATGTGGTCGACGCAATTCGATGTTTTGTTTTTCGTCTACATTTGGGCGTCTTTTTTAACGTCGCGGTATGTTCTATAATTAGCAAAGCGAGCGCCAGACGGTGATGAGTGCTCTGGAATGTGCCAAAAATGTTAGGCCCGTCTGTCATATTGTCGGCGCTGTTGCAGTTTTGCCGGATTCCATACATTGTTACCGTTATAGCCGAAAATTGTTAGTTTTAGATGTCTATAATACATTATAGGCTACATTTTCAATCATTAATTGGGCGTGTTTTGCCACTAGAGTTATGTGTCACTTTATCAAGATATAGCCTGACGTAAGTACATATTTTTGCATGTATGAGTACATAATACGTATTTTCGAGTGCGCGTCCACACAGCTGTAACCAGCACTTTCTAGTTTATCTTATCAACTTTATCTATAGCTGTATGTGCAAATTGCAATATACCACTTGGCTGAAATTGCATTTGAGGACATCAGGAGATAAAAACGTGCCTAAAATGGCAAATAAAATTTTTATGGATTAGTCAGCAAACAAATGTCACTTTAAATATTTTATGAATGTCATTATAAATGTTCAAGTATGTTTTTGACAAACCATTTTACCGAAAAAAAAAACATTTTTGAAATTATTGCAGGTTAAAAATACAATTATTAATACTACAGAACTGCAATAACACTTTAAAAATATAATTTTTGAGTTTATATTTCCACATTTATGATTTAAATGAATCCAGTTTTTTCTTATTTTTTAAAAAAATATCACAGCAACTCACTGCAAAAAGTGTATTTTTTAGTTCAAATCTTCAAATTAATACATGCTACAATAAAAATATTGAAACAGGATAATTTAAAGCTTAATGTAAAAATTTCTACACCATTTTCCCTACAACACTGAAGTTATAAATAGTTTGGGTTAATACCCTCACTGCGGACCCCCCACAGAGTAATGTACAGCTGTAGTTATGTTAATACACTATACACATTGGGTACAACTAACATAAATGATCTGTAGATCAGCTCACAGTTTTTATTTGTAACATTGATCAGCTCAGTTTGCCTGCGTCACTAAACAACTTGAGATTTGTCAGCTCTCGTAGTTACCTAAAACTTGATTAATTCTCTCTTCATCATCATCATAATATCTTTTCATTGTAACTTTCCATCTCATTTTAAGAATCTATAGTTTATGTTTTGACCAAATATTGAGAACTTGCTAGTCTGCTGTTTGCCGAGTTTCATCAGAGTGGCTTTATTCTCATTCCTTCTCTATCATGTACATCACTTTTCAATATTTCTCTTTACTAGCTTTTGCCTGCAACTCCAACCGCACGAAATTAAAAAAAAAAAAACAGATGCAAGTAGCCTATGTGTTCTTCCAGAGTATGCTCAATGTACCAAATTTAATTGAAATCCGTTCAGTAGTTTTGGCTACAAACTCTAACAAACATCCATCCATCTAAACTTTTGCATTTATATTAGTATGAAGTATGATTATATGGCCATTGTACGCAGTTAGTGACAATGTAGCTTTTTAATTTTGAATTTTAAAATCAGTACTGTAGATGTGGAGCCTGCTCAATGCATTTTTTTTCTTTTGTGAACTCTACTTATTCCTAATATAAATGCAAGGGTTTATAGAGATGTTGAACGTATTCTAGAAGAAATTATAGGTTACATAATCTTTTTTTTATTCCACTTAGATGGAATCGCGGGAGACTGCCAGTGTTAATATAAATTCAAGAAAAAACATAAAAAAAAAATTTCATTGATATATTTGGTAACCTGACACATTTGTGCTCATTTAAGCATGAAGGACATTCAGTTTGATATCAAATACTTTAAGATATTGTAAATTTGTTTAACAAAACCTAAATTTTTTCAGAAATGTAGGTTACAGTCTTATATTTAGAAAGTTTTTAATTAATGTAATAAACCCATATCTGAATGGAATGAAATTTATCTGTACCACTTCTATTGCTAGATAAAAGTGTCATTGACTTTGAGTGAATTATAATATGTACTATTTAAAACTATTTTATTCTAAAGTGAGCATTGGAGGCCTAGAATCTGGTATACCCAAATTTAAGGAGCATTGTTGATTATTACTAATCTTTGGTATTTTTAACGAAAACACTTAGATGAAAGGATATTATAGTTTGCCGCCTTAAGTGGATATCAAAGAAATTTGGTATAAATGTAGCTTAGTCTGGAATATCACATAGATGACATTATTTTTTTTAAATTTCTGGATTCAAATTTTTTTAATTTTGTTTATCTTATTTCTATTATAATGTTTTTCCAATACAAAGTTTATGACATCATTGTGATAATTCTTATCAAGATGTATAATGTTACCTTGATAGTTTATATACATTACTGTGTAAAGTTATTTATTTGTAATACTTATTATTGACTTGCTGTTGCTCGCGACTTCTTCCACATGTAATAAAAAAAATCAATAAGCCTATGTTACTCACAGAAAACTTACCTTTTTAACGGTGAAACAATTTTTAAAATTGACCTTTTCGTTTTTGAGTTATTTCAATACATACAAAAATACAAAACTACAATTTCTTCATCTACCCACATGTAATCAACAAATAACTTATTTGGGGTGGGATTGGCCCACCATTATAATAACAATGATTAACATAAGTAAATATTATTAAAAAAACCTTTTAGGCTGTCAAGAATTTAGTCTTTAAGTTGATGAAATGGTTCTTTGAAATTAATTTGTATGAATAAAAGCACATATTTCAAATTATTAATCGCCAATGACATAATAGTATTTCTAGTATTTGAATATTAATTTAATGATTCATTCATGTGTGGGTTTTAAGCATATTTTATGATATATATAGTCAATTTAGACGTAATGTAAAAATTTTAAGTTATAGGGTTGACACTACATGATGTATCATGAAAAATAAAATAGAAAGTCGAGTTTTTTGATGTTATAAATCTATTGTTTTTATTTAACTAATGTAAAAAGGAAAAATATGTTTGTTTTCATTGTAAAGGCAATGAAAATCTTAGACCGATTTAAACAATTATTTTACCATTGTGAAGCTATGTTGTCGCCTGGTGATAGGATTTTGTTTTCTTTTAATTATTTCTTCATGATTTTAGGGCAAAATAAAGTTTGTAATAATATGTATGTGTATGGAGAAGATGACAAAGTTATTTTATTTAATTACTCTGATGTAGAATAAAAATAAATAGAATAAACATATTTATTCGATGTTTATACAAATGTAAAGTTGACAACCCTATATTCGTAGAGAATCTTTATTAGGAATGTTGTAATGTAAATTGAGGACTGAATGATCTTGAGCCATTAGACAGGTGTTTACCTCATACTTTGTGACATGTTTGCTTGACAATTCTGGTATTTGTTCATGGCATAATAATTGCATAAACATAAGAATATAGCCTTGTAAAAAAGTAAAAATACAGAATAAGTTTTAGCGAAACTCGTTAAATTGTTAGATTAAAGAATAACAATTATTAAAGTGTGTAATTGTAATTAAAAATGGGCTAGGGCTGTGCTAAATAGTAATCATACACCTTATCAGCTCTAAGTCCCCACTCATGGGCGTGTCGCCTACCATAATTTAAGGGTGATTAGGCAATGGTAAACCATGCTGGCCCACTGCGGGTTTTCTTCGTAGATATGCAGCTTGCATCACAATGATTCCTTCTCTGTAAAAACGTTGGGCAAATTATGCCTACTTGAAATTCGGAAAATAAGTTTGTACATGGGGATTCGAACCCAAAATCTGTAGATTATAAGTCAAGTCCTTAACCCTTGAGTCACCAACTTCTCACCTATTGATTACGTAATTATTTATTTATCTGTTGTGACACCCCTTAGCCAGTTGGCAATTTCTATTCGTAAGAAAGTGATGCTGACGGCGCATGCATAATGTATCAGTGATTCATCGCCCAAGGGTATCGAGGAACCCGTTCCATGTCTACTGTCTGGCCTTCACGGTACAACGACCTCTAAGTCCATTGTGTTAGAGGTGACAGTTATTTGAAATAAAAACACAATCATTGTTAGAATGCTTGCATTCGGATCTCGAATACGGTGGCGATTCGATTATCGATTTTGCATTGTACTATTTTCAATGTTGTGGAAATGTTTGTAGAGAATTTAGATCATTGCTAAGAAAATGTCTAGATTATACTATTAGACAACTTATTTAATTGATACTGTCGCTTTTATCTCAGAGCAATACTTCTCGTCAAGACTCAAGTTCCGCGCCAATCTATCCATACTTCTAGTGACATTGACGTTTATGCCGATAACCTAGAGTTGCGCCAATTCTATAGCACGGTACTAATTTTATTCCTAACAATACAATATTAACTTTTGCCCGCGTCTTCGTCCGCGAAGAATTAATAAAATACAAAAGCAAGTAGCCTATGTGTTCTTCCAGACTGTGTTCTACATCTATGCCAAATTTCATCCAGATCCGTACAGCCGTTTAGGCTATAAATTCTAACAAACATCCATCCGTGTACCTAAACTTTCGTATTTATAATATTAGTATAGTATGATTAATAGAGATGTGACACACGGATTTTGTGGCCGATTATTCTTGATGCGTATTCCATATTCGATGTATAGTACAATTCAAATTTGTGGCTACAAAATAACAGTAATACGTAACTGGCAGCAGAAATAAATGCATTGTAAAACTAGTACGCAGATAGTCCGTTCCGGTCCGTTTCATTGGTCGTGTGGCATCCCTCTAATGGTGGAGGTACGAATTTCGATTATCAAGAGTACGAATCATATTCCAAACTTTTCGATCAGTATTTTGACTTTGATTTGAGCAGTGTCGTTATAATTTTTTATGTG